AGGTTGAGATAATTTTTGCTTTATAACCAAAGTAACAAATTATTGTTTTGAAGTTCAACATCTTGGATATTATATATGAGTTCTATATATAAATTTAGATTTATCATTGGCAATATAATTAAATATATATATATATATATATAATTTTTATAAAATTTATGTATATCACTCACGATATAATTAAATTTGTTTATTTTAAGTGAGTTTCATCTCTTCTAAAATCCTAAAACTCTCGATAAAAAATAAGTTAAGAGTGTGTATATTAAATATAAACCTTTCCACCTAGTTTTCTTGACTATCGTCAAATCACCTTCAAATATTCATCGGTGCTGAACTTACACGACCCAAGTGGGGGAATTTTCTTGCTAACTCAAGGGATCTTCACGAGTCCTTAAGATGAAATAAAGAATAAAACTTTTTATAATTTTTATAAAACTCAAACGCCAAATTGATGATGTCAGATGAGACATTGGTAGAGGTCACTGCCTACTAGCAAAAATAGTTTCATTCTTCTTGTTCTTAACGTTCAAACCATTGTAGGAGATATCACTTTTTAGCTAGCTGTACTTTGAGATCTCATATTCGTCTTCAAATTCAACTACATTTACCTATCCAAATAAAGATAAAAAAAAATTTTGAAGCACAAGAACCAAGTAACCTTTTCTATACCTATTTTTGTCCCGGGTTGTATGAAAAATGTCTTCCTTACTGCTGTGGCATATAGGACACATGTCTGCTTGAGCAATGTGTCTTTATTTTCTTTCTACATGAGTTAACCAGAGATGAGAGATAAAGAGACACATGAACAGATAACATATTTCTTATTGTTATTGTAGGAAGGATCATATGTTATGTGCACCAATATCTTATAGTTTCGAACAACTCATAAATGCCTCAACCACAACTTAGCCTTAAATACAATATGCCTCATATACAAAGAGGAAACGAGGATGTTAATCACTTATTTAGTTATGTTCGTACACAAGTAATATTTATAAAATGAATCCTATTTGAAAATGCACAAATTAGGGCTTCGGAAAAAAAAAAATGGATAGCCACATGCCTAGTTACATTGCAATCATGAGTTCGAACCTTGTTCCTGTATGTATTGTATGGTATCTGATGAAGTTGAAAGCAACAACTTCATAACGCAAGATGTGCGATCCCCCATAAACTAATTCAGTGAATACAATTTAAAGTCAATAATTTAGGGATTATAAGAGATATGTTGTCTCTATCTTATAGTTTCGAACAATCTGTCGATGCTTCCACCACAACGTGGTGCCCACCATAACCCTAATACATATAAATTAAATTGTGATGCATCTAGTGGGGAGTCTTAAAAGACTGGATTAGATGTTGTACGTCATGACTATGACGAGATATTTTCGTTTCTTAGGATGAGAAGAATCCCAGCTCCTCCATCCGTCAATCTAGCTAAAGAAGAAGCTATTATGTATGAATTACAAGTAGCAAGGTGGTATGATATGTTTTCGGTTCAGGTTGACGGAGAAGCTTAGGTTTGTTTAATCTTCTTAATTCTTTGATGCACTTTTGTGATTGGTCTACTTGTTGATAATACTATTTTTTTTAATAGTTTGTTTATCTCACATTTTTTGTAACGGCCTTGGAAATTTAAAGAAAATGTATGTATTAAAAATTCTAAGTGCAGAAGCGAAATAAAAATTCTGATTAATATTCCTTACATAATAACCAAAACGTATTAAACGTATGAAAGAATAAACTAACTGAAGTAAACACTAGTAATGAATACTATAAGTACATCTATGAAATCCTTAGTCATCTACTCGCCGTCTTCCTGTGGGACGGGCTCGGGAACCAATACTCCTGATCTGAAATGGTTAAGTAAGAAATGAGCTACACTAGCCCAGTAAAGACATCACACTATCTCACTGCCACAGGAGTAAAGATTGGTAGAAAACAAAAACGACCAATTGAGCATAATTTATAGCAAACTCATTTATCAATAATAAAAACCCTTACTGTCCACTTACCTCGGTGAGATTCATGAAAGACAACTTATGAAACACAATAATATCATAAAATTATGCACACTTTGTAACATAACACATATCAAACTCTCGTTTTTCAATTATCAGACAACAATTTTCCTCTTTTATCAGCCTACTAGTATCTATGGAGATCCATAGGGGGGTTCCGCTACATGTGAACCATTCACATTAATAACTTGATTCCAGGGCCCTATACCCCATTCGGTATGGGCACCAAAATCATAAACTTCAATACCTCGTCCGGTATGAGGGTGAAACGGGCTGTCCCCATACCCCGTCCGGTATGGGCGCCAAAACACATAAGGTCTTCATACTCCATCCGATATGAGAGATCACGTTCCTGGTAGGGTTCCCTACGGACTCGGTCCGTCCACCATCTCCCAGGATATTTAGTTAGGCTGTCGACATCATCCATTTATCAATTCACATACATTTTTCTATTTTTCTTAGTCTCAATTATCCAATCAAATATAAACACGTAAACCAGTAATGAACACCAAACAAGACAACAACGGGTTCACAATAATTCAAACCATAATAAATGAAACAGTGATTCATGTATACGAAACCATAGAATAAACACATCAAATATCATACTGCATTTAAAACTGTAAAATAGATCAACAACAACTGACCGAAAAATACATCAGATTCGGGCTCCATTAGTAACATTAATTAATTATATACAATTCATAAAGTACTGTTTATTCATTTATTGAGCTTTAATACCGTGATAGAAAATAGGGTGAGAAATCCTTACTTATTTCGGAGTATGAAATTGGGTTCTCACTGCGCCTACGGGCTGTCCCTAGATTCCCTAAATTTCTTTCTCCGGGAACCGAAATACACTTCCAGTACCTACACATGTCCCGAAAAAAACTCAA